AAATAACTGTTTGAAATTAAGGGGATAAAATATTAAAAAAATTAAGAGGTAATTCAGTAAGAGTGGTAAATTTTAGGAGGTAACTGGACCTTTAAGGCTAAACTAAATATTAATTATATTGACTATGTAACAAATGTCTAGCTTGACCCAATGATTGAGCAATCAATGGGTCTAAACATTTAAATTTTTGGGTAAATTAACCCAAATACCACTGAATTTTATGTATTGTATTATTTATACCGCTAAACTTTTAATTTCTTCAATTATATAATTTAACTTTAATTTTACCACTGGACCAATGATGCAATGATATGGACAAACCGATATCATTTTGGTGTGACTAGTAATGCCTAAAGTGATATCATTCTAGGCACTAAACTTTAGGGAGCACGAATTGAGTGACCTTAGTGATAAAGAAATTGTTGTTATTCCTTAAGGTCTCAGGTTCGAGCACCAAAAATGTTAGGGGTGTGAGCGTTCAATGTCAAATGGCTGAGAGTTGTTTTTAAACAAATATTGTCTTGTACTTACTCCAGGTTAACAAAAAAAAACTTCAAGGATGTATAGGTTTTACTGTAAAACTTTTAAACATATCCATTTTGGGCATTGCACATTTCTGACCGTCATTGGCAATCAATCAGCCCCTGTCACAGGTTATCTTTTAAAACAATATTGATACTAGAATATTAACATTTCACTCATTTTTCTTCTTCTAAGATTAGTTTTTCACGAAATATACTCAAAATCGACGAAATTAAACAAAAAAGATAGAATAATGTCATTTTTAGGGTTTTGAGGGTTTTCTTAGATTTGTGAGATTTGGAGGTGTTTGTTCAAAAATTCGAATAGTGAGAAGCATTATTTCGAGAAGACGAACAACATACCTCAAAGTTAACCTTATCAGATGGTCATTGGAAAAAAAGCAAAGTATTGCACGTTGAACTTTTAAATGATTTTTCGACAATTTTGAGCGAGTTTCGTATAAAATAGATCTTATGGGAACAAAGAGAAATGAAATGCTAACGTTTTTTTTGTATCAATCTTATTGTGAAAGATGACCGGTGGCAATTGATGATGTCTATCAGTGACAGACGATGATTATTGTTTAGTTGTTAGCAACAGTCACGAAAGTGCAGTGTCAAAAATGAACATGTTTAAAAGCTTTGTGGCAAAATTGATACACACCTAAAGTTTAGTGCATAAAACATCATTTTATGTATCAATGGTTATTGCCAAAACGATGTTGTTTTGTTAACGTCATCATAGTGACAAAAACAACTATCCACATCATAATATTGTTAAAATTTAACGATATTGTGACATAATTGAAGTCAAAACAAAATTTTAATATTATAATTAAAGAAATTAAAAGTTCAACTTATATAAACAATACACTACCCATAGTGTATCTAATGTAGTTAGGGGTGTTCGAACAGTTAATTCGGTCATCAACCTTTTTTCTGAAAATATTAACCGAACAAAATAAAATTCAGTTATTCGGTCGGTCAACCAAATCAACTTATTTTTTAATAATTATTTGAATTAAAATTTAATCAGGAATTAATAATTTGATGAGTCTAATGTGGTTAAAATATAATAGAATCTTAATTCTTAAAGAGTTTGTGCTTAAAATATGTATTATATATATATATATATAATTATTTCGGTTAATTAACCAGATTCAAACTGAATTAACCGTTAATCAAATATTAAAAAATATTAATTGTTATCCGATCGAACTAATTCGATGACCGATCGAATTAACCTAATTAATTCGATTCGATGTATTAATTCGGTTAAAACCCACAAATGAACACCCTAAATGTAGTTTACACTAGATCTTTATTAGTGCAGAGTTGACTTTGTTATACCCATACGGGGGTGTGATGTATTGTCATTTTAGATACCTATGCAAATGACATGGCAATGAATACTCAAAATGAATAAAATATGACTTTAAAAAGAGTTGACAATATACGTAATTTTTTCTAATATTTTTATATTCCATAATGAAGTTGGCTAAAAAGAGTTGACAATATACGTAAAATTTTCTAATATTTCTGTATTCCATAATGAAGTTGGCTAAAAAGAGTTGACAATATACATAATTTTTTCTAATATTTTTATATTCCATAATGAAGTTGTCAGCGATGGAAGGTCGAAACGAATTATTTATAAGTGTAAATTATGAGTTTGGTAATTGAAATTTACTTGCTCTCTTATTTCGCTTATATTTTAATTTTTTTTAATTTCTTCACTGAATTTAAAACATTGAGTTTTTTTGTTCACTCGATCATTAAATAATTAACGGCGTTAAAATATGTTGTTATATAGATGCAAAACGATGTCGTATTGGTGAAAATTTTATTTTGTTTAGAACAACATCGTTTTTAACACCGTTAACTATTTAACGATGAAGTGATTAAAATATGATATATAGTAAAATTCAGTGACAAAAAATTAAATGTATTAAGTTGGGTGATGAAATTAAACATTTTTAAAGTTCAATCAGAAAAATAGGACAAAAGTAACTAAGACCAACTCTAACGCTGCAACAATGTGGAGATATCTCCACTTTGGAGTGCTCCAACCGTGCGCCACTTCTAACGCTACAGTGCCGCGTCACATCTAGCGTGGCACTGTAGCTTGCGTTACAATTATTATTATTTAATTAAAATATATTAAATTATAAGATAAATAAAAATACATTTAAATTATATAAATAATCATACTATTTTTTTTAATTTTTTGTAATTTTTTTTGATTTTTTTATATTTGCAAACTTAATATTATAATAATTAAATATATTAATAAAGTATAGTTAGTGGTAATATAGAGATAGCGCTGGAGATGAATTATTGTTTCATCTCTAGAGTAGGGATGAGGACTCGAGATGGTCTAAGAACCATAATATAACTAAGGCCAACTCCAGTGTTGCGTTAGAATGGAGTTGAATTCTACTTTTATTGCTCCAGCACTGCGCCACTTTCTTACTCTAATTTGGTGTGGCTATTAGTTTCACGCTACATGTAGCGTGTTACTATAGCAACGCTATAAAAAGTTTTTTTTAGTTTTTTATTTTATTTTGTTGTATTAAATATAATATAATATATTCAAGTAGATTAAATTACAAGATAGATAAAAATATATTTTAAATTTGAGTAATAAACATATTAATTTTGCTCTACGAAATGCGCAGAATGAATATTCTAATTCGGTGAATTAAAATAAATAATTATGCAACTTATGTTTTTCGCATTATTATTATTAATTTTAATTTTCTTAGTTATTTGTATTTTCGCAATGTTATTTATGAATGTTTTATTAATACTTTTTATTTTGATATTTATTAGAAATGTATATGTTTTATTTTATATTTGCAAAATTAATATTATAATAGTTAAATGTTGTGAATAAAGTAGAGTTGGTGGTAATGTAGAGATAGTGCTGGAGATGAATTATTGTTTCATCTTTAGAGTAGAGATAGAATAGAGATGGGAGGAGCTGGAGATGACCTAAGGAAACAAAACATCTTATTTTTGGGTCATTTTTTATTTACTTCGAAATGGAAACATCGTGACTTTATTATATAGTAAGAAACTTCATTATTTATTATTTCATTAGGACCACCATATTCTTTTATGATAAACAAGGTTCAAATATAATTAAATTAATAATAATAATAATAGTAATAATAATCAAATTTAGTGAAAGTTGAATTTACTTTTCCCTAATTCGTGAGGAAAATATTTAAAATTAGTGCAACTCACACACTTGTAATAGTATACATATCTCAAACATATCATTCTCACATGTCAATGGACCAAACACTAAAATTTATATAAAAAATGTAAACCAAACATTAATTTTGTTATTAAAATAATAATAAATGGATTTAATTTTTATAAAAAAAATCATTCATATTAAAAAGATACGTGTACCCGCAATGATAACACCCGCCATGAAACCAACTCTAACAAAAACACCGGCTGCTAAGTTCTTACTTATCAGCTTAGACTAATGATTTGATATTTCGAACGGAACTTGTTCACAATTCCTAAGCGACACGCCCCCCTTTGTCGGTTGCCGACGGCGTTAGTCTTTGTTCGGTTCATCAGACAAAAATCGCCAACAGAGCATAAAGACGGTGAGTTCCCACTTTCCAATGAAACATTTGTCACCCCACTTTGTCGTTAACTGTAACAATCAATTCCTCGGAAACCGACGACTGTTTTCTGACATTCACTTTTGTTTACTTAACACCCAAGCTTCCTGCTTCATCTCCGTACCTGAACAACTCAATTATCTGCGAAAATCCAGATTTTCCCTCACTTGTTATTGGAAACCGGGTCGGAGACGAGACAAATCGTAAGTTATTCGAGATCGATTCGATCAAAATTCGATAAATATTTGAATCGAATAAATTTGATTCGAGCTCAAGCTCAACTTGAGTTATTAACGATTAGAAACAAATTACTTGATATTCGACTCGAAAAGTTCGTGAGTAACTCAAAAATATAATACATTAAGATTTTATTTTTTAAAATAAATTAATAATAATATTAATATTTATGTATTTTTTTTAAATACAGTAAAATATATTTAAGGTTCATATTCAAGTTTAAGTTTAATACTTAAATCGAATTAAGTTTAAGAAAAAAAAATTGAGATTTTTCGAACTTCTCACGAACTTCATTTCAACATTTAGAGTTTAAATTGAGTTTGAAAATTTTTAACTCGCGAGTTTTGGAGTCGAGTCGACTCCATTTCAGAATTCCGAGTTAAACTCAACAATACTCGACTCGACTCGGCTCGTTTACACCCTTTTCTTGTTCCTCATAATTCGTTTTATATCTTCCTTTTTAAGTTCTTCAGTTTCGGAATTTGAACTTGAAATTCCTTTTTGGTATTGTATTTCGTATGGTGGGATTTTTTTCAGGACTAATTCGTTAACTAGTGGAGCTGAATTTCTCTGGGGATTTTTAGCTCTTCAAATCGTGATGGTTTCCTGTGCAATTTCTTCATGGACCTTAACGGGTCTTGTAAGATCTTTTCTTGATCTTACTCTGGCTTATTTTCTTCTGTGCGGATCAACCTTGGGTTATTTTGCTTGGAAATTCTGTGATGTTTTTGGTATTCAATTACCCTGTCTTTGTTCTGGGTTTTTTGGGTACCAACATAGCAACCTCTGCTGGCATAACCTGCTTATTCAATGGCCAAGAAGAAAGATATGCTCTGTTCAAAATCTGGCTTTGAATAGATTACCTTTCCACTTGGTTTCGTTCAACGATCGAGAGTTGAATTCAAATGATGTAAAATTTTCCATTGGAGTCATTGAATTGGAAGGGAAAGTATGTTCTACTTCACTTTCAGGTGTAAGATTGCAAACTGTGGTGGACAACGATAATGGATATGATACCAAAGGAAAACTAGCCATGAATCAGAAGCAGAAATCGGGAGCTCGGAGGCGGCAGAGGACTGCTTTCGGTAATGGAAAACTTTCTCCGGTATTGTTGTCTGATAGTTTCCCACCATCAACTGTTGCAGGTGTTTCATGTTCTTCGTATATTAGCGGTGGTGAAACAAGAAGTGAAATTAAGGATAATTTCGGTTCAGTTGCTGAAATTGATGAGAGCTTACCTGGTAAGTTAAATGTATCTCTTGTAAAATCTTTATACTGTAATATGTATGTATCTATATATATTCCATATTGGTACTTTTAGCTTCAAGTGTTTGCTTAAGGGAATCATTGGACTACTTGAAGTTTTCATTGCTTTTTCGAAATCTGATATATTTTATTAGCATTACATGTTCGCTGACCTATGAGAACATGTAATTTCAGATGATAAAAATACTCAAACTGGCACGGATCTAGGTGAGACAAGCTGGCATGGTTTTGGATTGAGCAGTGGAGAGGAAAAGGGATCAAATCTGACGAAAAAATCAACTTGTATCAACAATAATGAGAAATCAGGGTTTATTGGAGGTGAAGCAGATCGGATCAGAATGTTGGAACAAGCTCTTGAAAAAAAGAAAGCTAAACTTGCTGCTATATACCTGGAGTTGGAGAAAGAAAGGGCTGCTTCCGCTTCGGCTTCTGATGAGACCATTTCGATGATTTTGCGGCTAGAAGAGGACAAGGCTTCTATACAAATGGAAGCAAGGCAATATAATGAGGAACAACAACCTTCGGTTCGACTTGGTCGAGGAGAAGATCCACTGGTGATGGTGAAACAGGCGGGGAATACGGGATTGTGTGACGAGAAGGAAGTGGGAACAGTGGATTATGATGACATAGCCTCCCAAGAAATTGCAACCAAAACGGTCCAAGGCATCGAGAAAACTTCTTTAACTGCAGAAGAGGAGCTCAAGAAGAATGCGGATTTTAGCAAGTCACTAGACTGTAATGTACAACATCCCACGTCTGATGTGGAACCAGCTATCTATGATGTCCATGTTGTTGATGATAAATTAGACATTCCGGAGAGCTCAAAAGAAAGTAAAACGCCACCCGATTCTGCTTTAGATCACAAAACCTCGCTATATAAATTTCGCAGGACTTTCTCTGGGGTCAGTAATGAAATGTTGGCCTACATCTTCCAAGGTATGTCACTTCTCAATTTGGCCGTCCTTAATTATATAAACCTTGGACTATCTTTTGCATTCTTGTTAGTTATATCTTATACGCGTTTCATGCTTTTATTTCGGTTAACAAAAAGGATTATTTGTATTACTGCAACATCTTTATAACTGCCGAATGCCATGTTTGCATGAAAAAGGGACAACCTTAGTGAATGTTAACTGTGTTCACTTAACGTGTAAAGCAAGCAAAACTGATCGTGATTTTCAGATAGTAACAAATGATAACTGCTTGTTAAGGTGCCTTTTTGGTAGTATGTATGTGTCATTTTAGGCTTGTTGCTTATACCATTAATTGCAGGGCCCTTCTCCATACTTATAAAACTTCTTCTACAAGTAATTTAACATTATATGCGTGAAAATGGCTCGAAAATCGAATAAATCACACCTCTTTAGGATAATGTTAGGGCTGTTTTCCATTTAAAAGGGTCGGCATCAAAGCAGTTGGAATGTTGAATAGAAGGGGACCATATAATCACCCTCTGAAATTAATGCACAGCTGAAAGTAAGCATATAAACTACTATTGCTAATTCCTCTACTTTCAGGTCGGCTCCAACAGGAGATGCTGCCGGAGCATATCGGACAAATCGAAGATGGTGCCTAAAGCCACCCCATGTACAGTAGCCTGTCGAATCCGGTAAGAAAATCACTCCTTCTTGCTCGTCTTTAGGTCTTTAGGTAAGAAAATCGTCTTCAAACAATTTGTTTATTGAAACTGTAAAGTCCATAAAGAAGGTAGTTGAATGAGAAATTGTACGCAAAACTGTGTTAATATAGTAATTTTTTTCAATTAAATAGAGTAAAAGCTTCAATCAAAGTGATTGTCCCCCTACAATAAATGAATGATGAATGTGTGAATGAGATTTTATTTTATAGATGGACAATTTTACTTGAATTACCCAATGCTATTGAATATTTTTTAATTAAGGATTCTATTACATTATGCGATGAAAGTCTTCAAGATTACACGATGTCAAGATAATACCTCATCTTGCTCGTGGCCTTCATGTCATGCTTTTATTCACACTTAGTATTTCATTGTAATGGCCTCCTTTTAATTAAAAAAATACTATAACAAAAACTCTAATTCAGAAAATAAAGAAATTATCTGATGAATTTGACTCACTATGTCATTCATGACCCCAGTAAATGAGAGTCTCAAATTATTAAGTAATTTTCAAATAACTACTCACTTCTTATTTACATGTAGAAAATATGTGAATGTTCCCCTTGAAAGAAAATGATATGAATAAATATTATTGATCGAAACCATTGGTGACGTAGAAAATAATATGATAAAAATTGCATTAAATATGAAAATAATATATTTAATATCAATATTAATATTATTTTAATGTCAATGTGAATATCAATATTAAATATTTAAAATTAATTTGAAATTATTTTAATATTAGTGTTATTTTTATTTATTATGTTAATATATTATAAAAATAATATTGGATTAAATTTAATAACAGTAAATTTCATTTTACACAAAAAAGTAGGGATTACACTAAAAAAATAAAACATAAGAGATTTGACATAAAGTTTACGACTTTTTATTGTAGTCATTAGTGTTTTTGGATCAAAAGTGTCACATAATGTATTTCGATTAGTCGACATATATTTTTAATTATAAAAAATTAAGACAATATAAATAACTGTTTGAAATTAAGGGGATAAAATATTAAAAAATTAAGAGGTAATTCAGTAAGAGTGGTAAATTTTAGGAGGTAACTGGGCCTTTAAGGCTAAACTAAATATTAATTCTATTGAATATGTAACAAATGTCTAGCTTGACCCAATGATTGAACAATCAATGGTCTAAAGATTTAAATATTTGGGTAAGTTATCCCAAATACCACTGAATTTTAGGTACTGTATTATTTATACCACTAAACTTTTAATTTCTTCAATTATATAATTAAACTTTGATTTTAACTTCAATTATACCATTGGACCAAGGATGCAATGATATGGACAAATCGATATCATTTTGGTGTGACTAGTAATGCCTAAAGTGATATCGTTCTAGGCACTAAACTTTAGGGAGCACGAATCGAGCGACCTTAGTGGTAAATGAATTGTTGTTATTCCTTGAGGTCCCGGGTTCGAGCACTAAGAATGTTAGGGGTCTGAACGTTCAATGTCAAATGACTGAGAGTTATCTTTGAACAAATATTGCATTGTACTTACCCCATATTAACAAAAAAGCCTTCAAGGATGTATAAGTTTTATTGTAAGACTTTAAACATATCCATTTTGGGCATTGCACTTTTCCAACTGTCGTTGGCAACCAATCAACGCCTGTCATAGGTTATCTTTCTCAACAACATCGATACTAGAATGTTCACATTTCATTCATCTTTCTTCTTCTAGGATTAGTTTCTCACGCAATCTACTCAAAATCGACAAAATTAAAAAAAAGAATAATATAATTTTTAGGGTTTTGAGGACTTTCTTAGATTTGAGAGATTTTAGAGGTGTTTGTTCAAAAATCCGAACGGTGAGAAGCATTATTTCGAGAAGACGAACAACATACCTCAAAGTTAGTCTTATCATATAGTCACTGGAAGAAATCAAAGTAGTGTATAAATGATTTTTTCGACAATTTTGAGCGAGTTTCGTGTAAAATAGATCTTATGAGAAAAAAAGAGAAATTAAATGCCAATGTTTTGGTATCAATCTTGTTGTGAAAGATGATCGGTGGCAATTGATGATGGCTATCAGTAAAAGGCAATGATTATTGTTTAGTTGTTAGCAACAGTCACGAAAGTGCAGTGTCAAAAATGGACAATTTAAAAGCTTTGTGGCAAAATTGATACACACCTAAAGTTGAATGCATAAAACATCATTTTATGTATCAATAGTTGTAGGCAAAACGATGTTGTTTTGGCAACGTCGTCATAGTGACAAAAACAACTATCCACATCATAATATCGTTAAAATTTAACGATATTGTGACATAATTGAAGTCAAAACAAAATTTTAATATTATAATTAAAGAAATTAAAGTTCAACTTATATAAACAATACACTACCCATAGTGGTACCTAATGTAGTTAGGAGTGTTCAAACAGTTAATTCGGTCACCGACCGAACATAATTTACATTAACCGAATTAATCAATTTTTTTCTCTAACTGTTAATAGAATCGAACTTTTTTTTCTCCTGAAATTATTAACCGAACCGAATAAAGTTCAGTTATTCGGTCGGTTAATCGAATTAACTGATTTTTTAAATAATTTTTAATTAGATTAATTTAATATAATAGAAATATTTTTATTTGAATTAAAATTTAATCCGGAGTTAATAATTTAACGAGTCTAATGTGGTTAAAATATAATTGAATTCTTAATGAGTTTGAGCTTTATTATATATATATATACGGTTAATTAACCGGTTTTGAACCAAATTAACCTTATCGAATATTAAAAATATTATTATCCAATTGAATTAATTTGGTGGCCGATCTAATTAATCGAATTAATTCGATTCGATCGATTAATTGGTTAAAACTGAAAAATGAACCCTATATGTAGTTTACACTAAATCTTTATTAGTGCAGATTTGACTTCGTTATACCCATACGGGGTGAGATGTATTGTCATTTTAGATACCTATGCAAATGGCATGGCAATGAATACTCAAAATGAATAAAATATGATTTTAAAAAGAGTTGACAATATACGTAAAATTTTCTAATATTTTAAATTCCAGAATGAAGTTGGCAGCGATGGAAGGTCGAAACGAATTATTTATAAGCGTAAATCATAAGTTTAATAATTGAAATTTACTTCCTCTTATTTCACTCATTGTACTTTAAATTTTTTAATTTTTCATTGAACTTAATACATTGAGATTTTTTTGTTCACTTGATTATTAAATAATTAACGACGTTAAAATATGATGTTATATAGATGCGTATTAGTGAAAATTTTATTTTATTTAAAACGGCGTCGTTTTTAACACCGTTAAGTATTTAATAATAGAGTAATCAAAATAGGAGAGATAGTAAAATTCAGTGACAAAAAATTCAATGTATTAAGTTGAGTGAGTAAATTAAGAACTTTCAATGAGCAAAATAGGAGAGAGAGTAAATTTCAGTGATGAAAATTGTAATTTACCCTATTTATAAAAATTGGGGCAAACCAAACTGAACTGTGACCCAAAACTAAGGCATCTTTAGTTGACAAAAGTAACTAAGAACCATACTATAACTAAGGAAGCAAAACATCTATTTTTGGGTAATTTGTTTTTATTTACTTCGAAATGGAAACATCGTGACTTTATTAAATAGTAATAAACTTCATTATTTATTATTTCATTAGGACCACCATATATTCTTTTATGATAAACAAGGTTCAAATATAATTAAATTAATATCACTTAAATTTATAATAATAATAATAATCAAATTGAGTGAAAGTTGAATTTACTTTTTCCTAATTCGTGAGGAAAATATTTAAAAATAGAGCAACTCACACACTTGTAATAGTATACATATCTCAAACATATCATTCTCACATGTCAAACTCAAAATCATTCACATTTACGGTCAATGGACCAAACACTAGAATTTATATAAAAAAATGTATACCAAAAAATAAGTTTATTATTAAAAATAATAATAAATGGGTTTAATTTTTATAAAAAAATCATATTAAAAAGATACGTGTACCCGCAATATAACACCTACCAGGAAACCAACTCTAACAAAAACACCGGCGGCTAAGTTCTTACTTAACAGCTTAGACTAATGATTTGATATTTCGAACGGAACTTGTTCACAGATCCTAAGCGACACGCCCCCCTCCCTTTGTCGGTTGCCGACGGCGGTAGTCTTTGTTCGGTTCATCAGAAAAAAATCGCCAACAGAGCATAAAGACGGTGAGTTCCCACTTTCCGATGAAACATTTGTCACCCCACTTTGTCGTTAACTGTAACAATCAATTCCTCGGAAACCGACGGCTGTTTTCTGACATTCACTTTTGTCTGACGCCGTGAAATTTCTCCCCAGCTTTGATCCTCTCGTCTTTATTGGCTTTGGGATCCTTAGAACTGATTGCCCTTTGTTTACTTAACACCCAAGCTTCCTGCTTCATCTCCGTATCTGAGCAACTCAATTATCTGCGAAAATCTAGATTTTCCCTCACTTGTTATTGGAATAACAACAACCCTTTTCTTGTTCCTTAAAATTTGTTTTATATCTTCCTTTTTAAGTTCTTCAGTTTCGGAATTTGAACTTGAAATTCCTTTTTGGTATTGAATTTCTCATGGTGGAATTTTTTTTCAGGGCTAATTCGTTTACTAGTGGAGCTGAATTTCTCTCGGGATTTTGAGTTCTTCAAATTGTGATGGTTTCCTGTGCAATTTCTTCATGGACCTTAACGGGTCTTGTAAGATCTTTTCTTGATCTTACTCTGGCTTATTTCCTTCTGTGCGGATCAACCTTGGGTTATTTTGCTTGGAAATACTGTGATGTTTTTGGTATTCACTTACCCTGTCTTTGTTCTGGGTGTTTTGGGTACCAAAATAGAAACCTCTGCTGGCATAACCTGCTTATTCAATGGCCAAGAAGAAAGATATGCTCTGTTCAAAATCTGGCTTTGAATAGAGTCCCTTTCGACTTGGTTTCGTTCAACGATCGAGAGTTGAATTCAAATGATGTAAAATTTGGCATTGAAGTCATTGAATTGGGAGGGAAAGTATGTTCTACTTCACTTTCAGGTGTAAGATTGGAAACTGTGGTGGACAATGATAATGGATATAATACCAAAGGAAAACTAGCCATGAATCAGAAGCAGAAACCGGGAGCTCGGACTGCTTTCGGTAATGGAAAACTTTCTCCGGTATTGTTGTCTGATAGTTTCCCACCTTCAACTGTTGCAGGTGTTTCATGTTCTTCGTATAGTAGCGGTGGTGAAATAAGAAGTGAAATTAAGGATAATTTCGGTTCAGTTGCTGAAATTGATGAGAGCTTACCTGGTAAGTTAAATGTATCTCTTTTAAAATCTTTATACTGTAATATATATATCTATATATATTCCATATTGGTACTTTTAGCTTCAAATGTTTGCTTAAGGGAATCATTGGACTAGTTGAAGTTTTCATTTCTTTTTCGAGATGGGATATATTTTATTAGCATTACATGTTTGTTGACCTATGAGAACATGTAATTTCAGATGATAAAAATACTCAAACTGGCACGGATCTAGGTGAGACAAGCTGGCATGGTTTTGGATTGAGCAGTGGAGAGGAAAAGGGATCAAATTTGACGAAAAAATCAACTTGTATCAACACTAATGAGAAATCAGTGTTTATTGGAGGTGAAGCAGATCGGATCAGAATGTTGGAACAAGCTCTTGAAAAAAAGAAAGCTAAACTTGCTGCTGTATACCTGGAGTTGGAGAAAGAAAGGGCTGCTTCCGCTTCAGCTGCTGATGAGACCATGGCGATGATTTTGCGGCTACAAGAGGATAAGGCTTCTATACAAATGGAAGCAAGGCAATATAAAAGGATGATGGAAGAAAAAATTGCTTATGACGATGAAGAGATGAACATTCTGAACGAGATGCTTGTTAGGAGGGAGAAGGAGAATCACCTATTGGAGAGAGAACTAGAAGCTTACTGGCTAAGAGACAAGCCGGAGGAATGTAAATTTAGTTATACTTTGAATAATGAGGAACAACAACCTTCGATTCGACTTGGCCGAGGTGAAGATCCACTGGTGATGGTGAAACAGGCGGGGAATACGGGATTGAGTGACGAGAAGGAAGTTGGAACAGTGGATCATGATGACATAGCCTCCCAAGAAATTGCAACCAAAACGGTCCAAGGCATTGAGAAGACTTCTTTAGCTGCAGAAGAGGAGCTCAAGAAGAATGCGGATTTTGGCAAGCCACTAGACTGTAACGTACAACATCCCATGTCTGATGTAGAACCAGCTATCTATGATGTCCATGTTGTTGATGATAAATTAGACATTCCGGAGAACTCAAAAGAAAGTAAAACACCACCCGATTCTGCTTTAGAACACAAAACCTCTATATATAAATTTCGCAGAACTTTCTCTGGGGTCAGTAATGAAATGTTGGCCATTGGTGGTGAAATCGAAGGACTTAGGGAACGGTTACAGATTGTGCGAGGAGAAAAAGTGAAGCTTACTTTCTCATCGGAACAGTGGAAAATGGTTGATACCCATTTGAAACATATCGAGGACCTGGTGAACCAGCTTCGGGATTTTCAGTGGCTGAAGGATCCTGTTCGACAGGCTTCTTTACCTCCTTTGCTTACATCTCCCAAGGTATGCCACTTCTCAATTTGACCGTCCTTAATTATATAAACCCGGGACTATCTTTTGCATGCTTGTTAGTTATATCTTATACTCGTGTCATGCTTTTATTTCGGTTACCTATAAGGATTATTTGTATTGCTGTAACATCTTTATAACTGCCGAATGCCATGTTTGCATGAAAAAGGGACAACCTTAGTGAGTGTCAACTGTGTTCACTTAACGTGTAAAGCAAGCAAAACTGATCATGATTTTCAGATGGTAACAAATGATAACTGCTTGTTAAGGTGCCTTTTTGGTAGCATGTATGTGTCATTTTAGGCTTGTTGCTTATACCATTAATTGCAGGGCCTTATCCAAACTTAGAAAACTTATTCTACAAGTAATTTAACAATATATGCGTGAAAATGGCTCGAAAATCGAATAAATCACCCCTCTTTAGGATAATGTTAGGGCTGTTTTTCCATTTAAAAGTGTGGGTATCAAAGCAGTTGGAATGTTGAATAGAAGGGGACCATATTATCACCCTCTGAAATTAACGCACAACTGAAAGTAAGCATATAAACTACGATTGATAATTCCTCTACTTTCAGGTCGGCTCCAACAGGAGATGCTGCCGGAGCGTATCGGACGAAATCGAAGATGGTGCCTAAAGCCACCCCATGTACAGTAGCCTGTCGAATCCGGGAAGAAAATCGCTCCTTCTTGCTCGTCTTTAGGTTTGTGTCGAGTCTCTTTTTCAAACAATTTGTTTATTGAAACTGTAAAGTCCATAAAGAAGGTAGTTGAATCAGAAATTGTACGCAAAACTGTGTTAATATAGTAGTTTTTTCAATTAAATAGAGTAAAAGCTTCAATCAGAGAGATTGTCCCCCTCCAATAAATGATTGATGAATTTGTGAATGAGATTTTATTTTATAGATGAACAATTTTACTTGAATTACCCTATGCGATGAAATATTTTTTTAATTAAGGATTCTATTACATTATGCATTGAAAGTCTTCAAGATTACACGATGTCAAGATTATACGACGATGATTTCTTAAAATTGTTTGAATTTAGAAATATATGGTGACTTTCAAACAACTGCTCACTTCTTATTTACATGTAGGAAAAATGTGAATATTCTTCTTGAAAGAAAATGATATGGACACATATAATTGGTTAAAATCACAGGTGATATAATGAGTCGAGACAATCTAATAATTTTTCAAAAAGTATATATTTTATATTTATATAAATATTTTTTATCACTTCATTATTTAAGTAATTTAACCCTTCAATTGTGATAATTTTTCATGTATATGTTTTATATTTTGTAAAAAATAAATTATAACATATAAAAAAGTATAGGTTGAGTTTCATTATTTGTTAATATTTGGGCCTGATTTCAAGTGTCCAGAACAAATTTTTGGGGTTCAGGTCCATTAAGACTTTAAAACAGAAACTAAAACACCGACTGACTAGCCCCGCCCATTCCCCTCCACCGTCACCGTCAGAGACGGCGGCTCTAGCCTCTACCATCCCCCATCCCCTTCAAACTTCTAGTCCCAAACACTTCTCTGAATTTTGAACCCCAAACGCCCAACCAGCGTCTCATTCAACGGCAGCGGCCGACCCGAACGCCGCTAGAAAACCTCAACCCCTTCCTTGGACTCACCAGGAAACCCTCAACCTAATCCAAGCCTACCAAGAGAAATGGTATTCTCTCCAGCGCGGCCAACTCAGGGCCTACCAATGGGAGGAAGTCGCCTTAAACGTCGCCACTCGTTGCGGCCTCTTCGACCATCCCGCCTCTAAGGCCGCCGTCCAGTGCCGTTACAAGATGGAGAAACTCCGCCGCCGTTACGGCTCCGAAAGTCAGGGCCTCGCTTCGGGCTCCCCTTGGCCTTACTACGACGCCACGGAAGCTCTGGAGTACGGGACTTATCCTTTCTCGACTTGACCATTGCCTTCCATTGTTCCAACCAGAGAGAACCACTTTTATCCCGATCATAGGCATGAAGCTGGAAATAACTACCGTAACGATGAAGAGGAGGAGGAGGATGATGAAGATGATCGGTTCAGTAAAAGCCGCAGTATCAATTACATTCTGCGTCGACCAAGTGTTGTGAATCGGTTCTTTGTTGCTCGCCTAATCAGGGGACATAGTATTAAATCCTTTGTCACACAGTTATTTTAGGAGGGTTCTATTCTAAAGTCATTGATGAAACTCGATTCCAAATTGTTGATATGACCTAATAGATCCTCATCGAAGTATTGAGTAAATCGATTAAGTTGATAATAGGTTATATTTATTCATATAATTCTATATCTAATCTAATTATATAATTATCAATCAACAATAAATTAGTCTAGTGATAAAATTTATAATTAACCTAACCACATCATAATTATATAAACATCAACCAACAATTAGTTGTTTAGTGACATGAAGGCATGAGACAATAGATCTTTAACTAAAGTCAGATGTTCGAATCTTGATAATTGTGAACAGAATAAATTGAATTATAAGGGTTGTCATTGTATATGTAGTATCCAATCTAGATAAATTGATTAATAAATCAAATACCAGTGGTTATAAAAAAATCACAGTCATCAAATACTTAAACATATACGATAAAACATTAATTTCTCTACTTAATTTCCGGTAGAAAAAATAACATTTTAGGTAGTAAAATTAGCTACACTATTTCCATATGTAATGGGGTAAGGGGAGGTAGGTAATAGGCTGCCCCCAACGCTAGGTTAGAGCAGCTTCCGTAGAAGACCTCTGTTATAAATTGCCCTAAGTGGACTCGATCCAACGACCACAAGATTAAGAGCCTTGTGCTCTACCAACTGTGCTCTACCACTGTTAATATTTTCAGTAAAAAAAATAATGTTTTAAGTATTGTTTTATAGGAAATGTTATATTTTAGGTATAGCCTAATATTAATATTTCTGGTAAAAAATAATTTTTTAAGTGGGACTTTATTAAAAATGTTACAAATATAACATTTCCGATAGTGCATTTCATTGACTGTATATAAAACTATCGTACCTAAGACATACTCATTTTTATAAGATAGTTGACCCATGACTCTTCCCTCGTAATAAAAGGAGTGAACGGTAAATCGTAAACTTAACGGCGTTTTTCCCAAAAATCACCGGTGATCGGCATATTTACCGATCTAATACCGGTCAGACTATATTTCTTATCTAACACCCTTAGAATAAAGTGCGCCCCTGAACCGCGCTATATGCTGATTTGGCACCACATGAGGTAAGGCGCGCCCCCTATACCGCGCTATATGCAGACATGAGATACACGTGGGTATAGCGCGGATCAGGGTGCGCCTTACCTGTGTATCTGCCACGTGTCAGAAAGGCGCCCCCTGCCCCTCACTATATGTTTAATTACCCCCTACCCCGATGCTTCACACGTCAATCCTCCCTATAAATACCCCCATCCTCAATCACTTTCATCACACCAAATTCTCTCAATTTCTCTTAAATACTCTTATATTCTCTGTTTAAGGTATATTTTATTATATTTTTAATATTTTGTATTTAATTTATTTAAGTATTTTAATTTATTTAATATTTTACTTATATAATTTTTTTACAGATATATAATGGAAGGTGGCCTACTTCGCTTGGATGAAAATCATATATTTCGACACTTTGTGATACGGTAACATTTTAACGTTTTAATTTAATTTAAATTATTAGTAATAATTTGTTGATTTATTTAATGCATGATTATTAAATTAAGAATTAATTTTTGTAATTATTTATTTTTAGAAGAATGACGTGTATTATTTTTATTAGGAACCTTAAGTTAGTGATACCTAGCTGTGTCTTGCCGTATTTAGTAAAGGCTGGATTTGGTTACATAGGTAGATATCAGATCACTGTAAGATAGAACCAGACCTTATCTCTGCCTTAGTAGAGCGGTGGAGGCCGGAGACCCACACATTCCATCTTCCGTACGGAGAGTGCACGATTACACTTGAGGATGTTGCTATGCACCTGGGGCTTTCGGTGGATGGGGATGTTATATCAGGGATCGTGCAGGGTTCCTGGACTACTTTGTGCAGGAAAATCTAGGACGTGTCCCGGAAAATTTTAACGGTTGTTGGATACCGTTAAATTGGTTAGATGCCAATTTTCAGGAGTTGAGCGAGGACGCGTCTGAGGATGAAGTTAAAATGTATCCACGGGCATACATACTGTAGCTGATAGGAGGGTTGCTGATGCCGGATAAATCGCGCAACCAAGTTCACTGCATGTGGTTGCGATATCTGAGCAACTTTTATCTGGCCGGACCATTCAGTTGGGGCTCGACAGTTTTGGCTTTGCTGTACAGGGAGATGTGTCGAGCCATTGACTACAGGCGTAATGCTATCGGTGGATGTCTCCTGCTGCTACAGTCTTGGGCTTGATATCGATTGCCCTTTTTATGTCCCGTTGTGAAGAACCCATTCGTATTTCCACTACTCTGAGGTAATTATAAAAATGATTTCGTATATTAATAATTTTATAAAGCGTATAATAATTTTTTCCTTGAATAGGTGGTCTACTGATAGGAAAAATCATCAAGAGCTACCTGATGATTTAGAAAAAATTAGGGTGCTAATCGATCAGAAGGCTGGCACACAGTATGAATTTTAATGTTTAAAAATCGATTTTAGATTATAGTTATATAATTAGATTATTCTTTTGATAAAAATTATATATATTTGTTTTAGTTTGAATGGTGTCATATTCTACTGATGATGTGAGGGCGGTGATCCCACCTGAGTTGAGGGACCCATCAGATGTTTGGATGGCGATCATCCCCTTGATCTGTTATGCGACCGTCGTGGCACTCCACTGATCGCGTGCTCCAACAATTTGGTTATTTTCAACCAATTCCGGAAGTACCTCGTAATATGGACAGTTGTATAGCACAATAGACGTGGCAAGATATATACAGATTGACTGGTGAGGCATCTGAGTGGGTCGTGTTATGGGAGGATCGACATCGGCGCCTTCCCCGTAGAGAGCCCATTTTTATGGCCTCTTGATGGTTGCTGACGGTTATTATGAGTGGTTCAACAGTAACGGGAAATCGTTTATGCTTCCTTAGGATGCACGAGGGCAGACATTTCGTGACGTCGACAGAGACGTTCACCGACACAGTACCATCTACCTCGACTCGTGGACGGAGAGTAGGTCCTTCCGGTTCATCCTCATTGCACCAACAGATCTTCACAACAGCCACCGTATCTAGTGACTTACATACCGTAACCATATATGATGCCACCACCGTCTTTCCATTACCAGATGCCGCTGCCTTTACCTGGTTTATGACCCTACCGCCGCCGCCGTCACAGATGACCCCTCATGGAGGCTATTATGTGTTATGTTTACAGATCCGACTTGGGGTTCATATACTGGATATTTGGCGGGTTCAGCCTCATCACCCATGGCCGCAGCACAAACACCTCCTGTACAATTTTCACACTCAGCGATGTCTGGGTTTTATGAGTTTTCCCAGTTTTCGCAGGCCGGTGGGATAATCAGTCATACACTTTCAGGGTCCTTATTCTATAGAGGTGCTTCATCGTCATCATCTCCTCATCAACAGAATGTACCTACTCAGGAGGAGGAGGACGACGACGATGATGGTGATGATGATGATAGCGAGGAGTCACAACCAGTGATACGAAGAAATCCTCCTCGAGACTGACAGCCACCGCCCTGCAGAACACATTCGCGTCGCAGGCATCGATAGATTTTGTTTTTTATTATATTTGTATTTAGTTTATTGGACTTTTTAATTGTAATTTTTTATTATTTCTCATTTAATACTTATTTTATTTTGTTAAATTTGTTGGACTTTTTTTAATGTATTTCAGTTA